CTGTTAACCAAGCCTTTGTTCAAGGAAGAAGCAGAAAGTTCTCAAATCATCTTGGTAGGGGATGGAGATGTAGAGATATTAGGCATCTGCAATGAAGAGGTAGCAGTCAGGGCCAGGAGATTAGAAATAGTTAAAAGTGATGAATGATATAGGGAGTGTCATTGTTATTAGTTTATAGGTGAGAGGCTGGAACAACACAGCAGGTCAGACAGCATCTGAGGAGCTGGTAAGTCAATGTTTTGGACCGAAACCCTTCATCAGGACACATCTGACATCAGAACCAACAAAATCAATGATCTCACATTTTACTTTCAGTCTACACTGAGCTAGTCAGAATCTTTGCAACAATTTAAAAAAAAAGCCAGTATATTCCCCCACACAAAACAAAACCGAGATTGAGTAATCATGTCATGTGAAAACAGGTAGCTATGTGGACTTTCGAACAAGTCATCGCCATGTACAACATTCCTTCCTGCATATTGGGCAGAGGAAAAGATAGATGAGAACAAGACTGCTCAAGTAAAACATGAGAGGAGGAGGACTTGTTTGGGCACATAGTCCAAATAAATCCTCTTTGCACAAACACATGGGGTGTAAGGAACAAACTGACTGAATTGCTGGCATAAATTCATGTGGCAGGGTATGACATGATTGTTATTACCAAGACATGGTTGCAAGATGATTGGCCCTGGAAATTAAATCAACCGGGGGGGTGGGGTGGAGAATATTTCAGATGATGGGGCAATTGCTGGTTGGAGCTGTCCTGTGACATTTCACATGGCTGGATATGCGGATTTTGCCCCTGACACGGGAGCAAGTCCCTCCAGGTAAGGGTGGGCGGGGGATGGATGGTGATGAGAGCGCCACACAATGAAATTTACATGTCTCCCCGCACCCATTTCAACTCAACAAAAAGGTGACACTTGGTTAATTTCTCAAGGCAATGCCCTGACCAATGCGCTGTAACCTGTCTGCTTTAAAATTGAACAAAAATGGCTGTCAGCTTTCAATCAAGTGTTTGGATGCATTCTCCGCACTATCACCTCCACTAGTTGGGGTCCACTTACCTGCCTCTCATGCAGTATCAATGTTGCTTTTACCCCTGAATTTGCATTCTTGTGAAATGTCCTGCTAAGATAAGATATAAAGATTTAACAAGATGATTTCTTTCAGCAGGACAGGCTGTACAGGCACTTGCGATGCCAAGGCATATAAGGTTATAGGCCAAGTGATGGAAACTAGGGTTAAATTAGTTAGGTGGTTGTTTTTGACCCCTGTAGACTTGATTGGCTGAAGGGCCTTTTTCTGGGCTGTAAACCTTAAGGACTCATATTAATGAGCAATGAGCTAGACTTAGTTAACAGGCTAATAGTGAGTAAACATTTAATCATATTGTTAACTCTATGAATTTGACAAAACTTGAAAGGAAGAATTGCAAAAACGTTAAAGATTATAAGAGTTAATACATTAATCATGAAAATGGCAAATGATCCATGTGAGGTGTTCAAAAAGATTTTTGAAATTCGATGTGACTTCCTCTTAATAAATATTGAGAAGATTAATGCCGTTGAGTTTCACTTACAAACTGTATCCTAGCTTCTAACTTCATTGCCCTCTCTAGCTTAATTTCAAACCATTCAGTCTGTTTGCAAGCTCAGTTGACCTTGAGATGAGCTACCCACCTCCACGACTATCCATTCCCTCCATAAGAACGGCCAACTTTGACCTGGCTCAGATCACTGGCTGCTGAAAACCACATCCTTTCCCTTTCTACCTTGAAACTGGAATAGCTTGTTGCACTCCCAACTGGTCTTCCATGTTCTAGCCTCAGTAAACCTGAGGGCATCTGTAAGTCTGCTCCCCATGTGCTAACCTGTGACTCGTCCTGTTCACCAATCACCTCCTGTGCTCATTGAGTTATATTGGCCTGCAGTCAAACAATGTCCTGATAATAAAATTCCGTTGCTTACTTTCAAATCCCTTTATAACCCTGCACCTCCCCTCATGCCTGTAATCTCCCAGCCCCACGGCCTTTCTGTGGTATCTGCACTCCCCTATTTCTGATTCCTTGTCAATCCCGATTTTATCTGCTCCGCTGCCAGGGATTGTTAGCAAGGAAGGGGCCGTAGCCTGAGCTCCTCTGTGCAGGCACATGTGGAGGATGAAACAGCCAGGATTTCACTAGCAGACAGCCTGTCACCTCGGTCAGTATCGGAGTTCAATTAGACTTGGGATCACAATCTGGCAAGCACATCACTGCCACATCCCCACAAAAACACATGGGAGCTTCTGACAGCAAGCCCCCACAACTGGAAGGAATGAGAGACAGGCAGCCTAGCACTTTCTTCTCAGGACACTGCAGAGGTTCCCTATCCCTCCACATCTGCCCCTGCCTGTTCCCCCAATGCCTCATACTGAGGAGGGTGGGCCTACATCGAGGCAGCACATTCTCAGCAGGTTCAGGCCCCTCTCGGCTGAAAGCCAGCTGGGAACAATTGCCCATACTTTCATTGTCCCCAGGGGGTACCACGCAGAAGGCTCCCTCCACCCTAACTATGGAAGTCAGCCTGTATTTGGTGTTTCTGTATGAAGTTGGGTGTGTGTTGCCCCTTTAAGAGAGCAGGTCAGCTGATCTGAAGACCTTTTCTGAAGAAGGATCGCGACCCGAAATGTCAACTTTCCTGCCCCTCTGATGCTGCCTGGCCTGCTGTGTTCCTCAGGCTCCACACGGTGTTATCTCTTACTCCAGCATCGACAGTTCTTACTATCTTAGCTGATCTCAAGGTGGGAGGTAGTGGAGGCTGGAGCTGAGATAAACTATTCCCTGTTCAAGTTTACCATCTGTCTATGTTGTGTTCTGCTTATGGTTCTCGTGAACCACAGACACATTAACTAGACATTGTGGAAGGGAGAGGAAGAATCAAAACATTCCGAGGGCACAACAGTGGCCTGAGCGCTCATTTTTTGTATAAAATCTGCACTTTTGTAAATACTTATTTACTTTCACTGTTGTAGTGTGTCTGCTGTGGTTTTATTGTCCCAATAGGAGCAGGTTAGGTGCTCAATGTTAAACCTGTGAACAGCTTCTACCAGGAGAAAGAGATCTGCTGTGCTGCAGTCACCAAACATTACCAACAGAGTGGGTAATTTCAGAGAGCAGGATCCGGCAGGAAAGAAGACAGACAGAAGTTAGGGATTGCAGCTCAAGGCACCACCGCTGATCCTCAGAGTCACTGAGGATTAGGGAAATTCGGAAGGGAAGAGCCAGGGTCTGTGACGAGCAAACTGTTTACCCTTCCCACTCACCTCATGAAGGAGGTGTGATGTCTTATGTCTGAGCTTCTCAAAGGAATGCTGTAGCATTAATCAGAAAATCAGATGTTCAGTTCCCCTCGTTGCATATTGGTCTGTAGAAAACAGATGCACAATTGCAGCCAATTATACTCAATGTTTTCAAAGACACCGCTCAGGTATAGCAAAGGATCAGTGTAGGCTCATGCCATTCCGAAGCATTGAAGTAAATTGATGTGAAAGCCACTCAGAAGGAACAATGTCAAACTAAGTGACAACTTGGTGGTCCTCAGGAGGGAGCGCACTCCCTTATCTGGCTAATTTGGTACCAGGACCACTTGAACAGAAACATCCAGGAGGACAAAGTCATTAAGATGCTCATGATCAGAAAGTGCCGTTTGATCACTAACGCTGATCGAGGGAAAGATTTGCACAGGGCACTTTATCTTTCATAGAGCTGAGAATAATGGATCCACGTCTGAAAGAGGAACTGAATATTATATTATAGTAATGACCAACAAAGAAAGCCAAGTAAATCCATTTCGAATGTGGAATTCACCAAACAGAGGGCAGGCTGCCAACTACTGAAATGAAATTAGAAATTGCAAATAGGAAGTCTCCACCCTGCTCTGTCACTCTAGAAGCTTGTTCTCTCTGGCCTACTGGGTTCTCTGGACCATTGTCCTGTTTTCTCCCCCTTTCACACTTTGCCTGGCCACTCATTCTTCACACCCTTTCTGTGTTGCAATCACTGTGTCCCTGGTGACACTTCACCATTGCTCTGTTCTGGCTATGCCTCCTTACGTGACCATAAATATGCCTATCTGACACTGGAGCCCATGATCCTCCAGGCTCTGATGCTCACGTTGGCTATGCATTACCTTCATATTAAGGCCAGAGTGACCCTGCCTTATTTGTCCCTTTGAGACTGCATGACTTCTGATTAACTACTGCCTTGACGTTACCATGAGCTGACCCCTGTAATGCCCCAGGATTACATTGGACCCACCCTCCTGTGACTTATTCCCTAGCCTGACCTTCTTAGGACAACCCCAACCGACTGCAGCTCATCTCCACTGAACTGATTTTGCAATAGGATCCTGGCTAAGAGACCAGTAAGGCCTGGGTTGATTTTACTGGATTGCCAAGACTGACCATGGCCAATTAAGACTGCAACAGCATGAATCCCTGGACAGGTTTTGGGGAGGTGATAGCCTAGTGGTATTATCACTGAGCTGTTAATCCAGAGACCCAGGGAATGCTCTGGGAACTCTGATTTGAATCTTGCTATGGCAGGTAGTTGAACTGGAATTCAATTAAATAAAAAAATCTGGAATTGGAAATCTAATGATAACCATCAATCTCATTGTCGATTGTTGGAAAAACCCCATCTGGTTCTCTAATAGCCTTTGGGGAAGGAAACTGCCATCCTTACCTGGTCTGGCCTACATGTGACTCCAGACCCACAGCAATGTGGTTGACTTTTGACCACCCTCTGGGTATTTAGGGTTTGGGCAATAAATGCTGGCCTGGCCCTGGAAGTCCAAATCCATTTAATAAAATGTTTAAAAAGTCAAGCACCTCACTATTGTGACCAGCCAGACTGTAAAGGATCTAGACCCTGGGCTGACTGCAGCGATACTCCTGACTGACTGTAATCCATCCTCTTGCCCACTAAACATTCCTCCTGTTTGACTTTCACACATCACCACCCTCTTCAAACACGAGCAGTGTGTCTATCGCGTAAGCTGCTGGCATATGCTGCAGGTTTTGAAGTTGATGCAGCAGCTTGTTGTACAGCTCGCCTTTCCCGAACATTAAACGTACGCCTCACTGTCGCTTACCGTCTCTCTCTCTCTCTGTGCTGAAGATCTACCTGTAAGCCAAGGCCTGCTGCCTTAGGCCATCAGCAAGGAAAGCATCCATATGAGAAACCTGGGTTGGTGCTGCCCCATTGTGTGAATGGAAGGTCCAGGGAGACATCGTGCTCAGTAACCGCGGAGACCCCTGAGGCAGTCTGAGTGGTTCCACCTAAAGTGCAGGAAGATGGCCCAACGAAGCCATAAGCTCATCTGGACTTGAAACTGAAATACCTGTTTGGCTCTGATGGGCAGGTTTCAGAAGTCTTGTTTTTTTTTGATGATGGAGAAGCTAATTGGGAAGGGTGAGCCATGCAATCAACAAGATGCAAATAGATGCAGACTGGCTTCATGCCAGCTAATGACAAGAAAGTAAATGCAGCGCTTCAGGAGTGAGAATTAATCGAAATAGCTTAACTCAAAGGCAAGATTCAGATTGTTGGACTGCCACCTGATTAATTCAACACACTTGCCCTTTTTCAGTCCACCTTGGGGAGGAGAAAAGAAATCGTTCAGAAAAATGTTACAAACAATTGTTTTAGGAGAAATAAGGTAGCCAGGTGCAATGCGGGCCTCTTGAAAACTGATAATGATGTTTTCAGTGAAAATAAGGAAATGGGGGAGTGAAATAAAGGAAATGGTGGACCGGCTAAATGATAGTGAGAAAAAGGAAAATACTGTGGATGCTGAAGATCTGAAATCTGAACAGAAAGTCTGGATAATCTCAGTGGGCAGCTTTGGAGATAGAAACATAGCTAAATTTTCACATCGAGTGACTCTCCTTACCAGAACTTTGTTCACTTTGTTTCTGTCGCCACTGATGCTGCTAGACCTTCTGAGTTTCCCCAACACTTGTTCTTACCATGTTAAATCATTACTATTGACATTAATGCAAAGGAGAGGACAAGGTCAGCATGCAAGACACGCCAAAGTATCTAAAACTGAACATGGGACAAGGACTCACCAACATATCAGTAATGAGGAAATTGCAAAAATAATCTAAGACCAGACTTAAAAGGGAGCATATGAGAACAATGCAGAGGCCCCAACTATAATCCTTCATCAAGGGAACATCTAGCATTTGGTACTAGATAAATTGTTCATTTTAAATCTGGTTGACAGATTTTGGTTAGCCAAAGGTATTAAGGATAAGGCTTAAAGGTATGAGTAATGATCTCATTAAATGGCGAGACAAGCTTAAGGATTAAAACAGCCTTCTCCTGATCCAATGCTCTGAAAATTCCAGGTGATAGCCATCAGTCTGGTCTCAGGGGCTGATAGACTGTGTCCAGGGTGTAACGTTACTTCATAATTTAACATTGGGTTAGAGTTTCCAAAGGTAGCGATCATGGTCAGATTGTCACTCCGCTCCCACCTTTGAGAAAGAGCCTTTTGCATTTTTGGCAGGACATTCTGAGCGTGGGTCCTGCAGAAAGGAGGCATGTATCTTCAATCTAACAGATCTCTCATACAGCAAGATGGTTGGAAGTAAGTCACACCGTGCCCCCCACAGCAGTATTTATACTCTGTAAATTATTTGTCCAGCAGCATAGATAGAGCCTGAGGAAGGGTAAATATGTAAGTGAGAGGCTAGTGTGCTTGATGGGTAGGGTGCTGGGGGTGTTGGGTGTGTATTTAGGAGTCATAGAATCCCTAAAGTGTGGAAGCAGGGCATTTGGCCAATTGAGTAACCACGATCCTCTGAACAGCATCCTACCCAGACCCACCTCCCCCAATCCTGTAATCCTGCATTTTCCATGTGGGAGGAAACTGGAGCATCTGGAGGAAACCCATGCAGACACAGGGAGAACTACGCACAGTCACCTGAGGGGGGTGTGTGTGTGTGTGTGTGTGTGTATGGCAATGTGTCAGTTGAATAGTTACCTGTGAGTTGGACTGGGCTTTTAATTATCTATCATGTCCTCTTCTAGTAACTATTAATTGCAGCGGAACCCACTGAATTCTCTAATTTAGTTGGAAGCTGTCGGGTCTCCGGGAGCAAGGGAATCTTTAATTTCCCTGGCCATTTCCTGGGCGGGATTCTACAGGGTCCTGAAATGTGATTCTCATCCAAGCTTCTGAAGTGACTACCTGGCCATCAGCAAATCAGGGCCACCGTAACTGCAGAGGCCGGCACCTGTGTTGCAGTCCTTTCCTTAGCTGGCACAGATATAATCACCAGATTTTTACGTTACTTCCACTGGGCTCTCCTTGGCTGCTACATGGTCATTTCTTTTTCCTTCTATTTATTCTGTGTCCTCCTTGATTGTGCGTCTCCAGCAAGGACTTTACACACATTGGTTCTCATCGTGGTCAACGTGAAGTCTTGCTCTTAGACATCTTTGGAGCACAGATGGGGGTGAACTCTTGGTCTCAGTTCAGTGATGAGCTCAACATAGGACATGTCTTTGAGAATGCAGCCCATTATCCACTTGGCCCAACATGATCCAACCAAATGAGTTGCTGCTGATTCAAGAGGACAAACACGAGTCGGATCCTGGTCCACTGGTCTACACCCTGCCCTGCCCTACCAGGAAATGCCCAATTTTCATAGAATCATAGAGTCCCTACAGTGTGGAAACAAGCTATTCAGCCCAACAAGTCCACACCGAACCTCAAAGCATCCCACCCAGACCCATTCCCCTACCCCTAAATTTCCCATGTCTAACCCACCCAACCAACACATCCCTCAATACTACGGGCAATTTAGCATGGCCAATCCACCTAACCTGTGCATCTTTGGACTGTGGCAGGAAACTGGAGCACCCGGAGGAAACCCACACAGACAGATGCCCGAGGCTGGAATCAAACTCAGGTCCCTGGTGCTGTGAGGCAGCAGCGCTAACCACTGACACCGTGCTGTCTAACCCTAATCCGAACACCAAGTATGAGGCTAAACCTTAACCTAACCCTGACACTATCTGTAATGCTATCGCTAACCCTAATCTGAAGCAGTGGAGGTGGAAGCTGGTTATCTGTTCTTGGCTTTCACAAGTTCCCTTCCTTCTGTTACCATTAAGGAAGGGGCTGATATCACAAACCTGCTGTACACAGTGCTTTGTAGTTTCAGTTAGCTTGCTGTTGGTCTACACTTCGACTCCTCAATTTTGACGATGCAGCCTTGGAAATGCTGGTGTGGACTTTGGCATCAAGGGACGGGTTACAGGTAATTGTTTCTGCAAGGTGTGTAATATTACACCCAGCCGAGGTAGGAGTTATTGGCTCCCTGCTTTTGATCCCCCTCAGTTAATTTTGAAAATATTTTCAGCCCATTGCTATATCACATCAGTTAAAATGCAGTCACTGGATCAGAATTAAAGCACCAATGACAAGATCTTCTTGAGCGAACACAGTGGAATTCCATTACCCACACACCAAGAAAACAATTTGTAAAACACACACACACAAACATAGGTAAAAAAGTTTAAAGCAGTGTCTAGGACAATTGGAAGATAATGAAGATGCACTTTAAACTTCTTACGTTCAACTGTAAAAGCTAAAGGACTCTAAGAGGTTATGTATCCTCAGTAAGTGCCAAAACTTATAGAATATTTGAATTCTTGATATATTGAAGTTTCTCCAATTTGTTTTATCTGATTCTAAACGATACTGTTACCCATTAACTTGCCTATTCCAACCAGATCATTTCTGATAGAATCTCTGACCAGAGACCTTCCCTTTTGCTCCAACACTCCCAACTCTAACCAGCAGTCTTTATCCGTTTCTGTCTCAATTTAACATTGTAACCTACTCCCCCTTCACCAGTGTTAAATGTGGCACTTATCTTCTACTTTGCATAGTAATCAAGCACTCTACCTTCCTTCCACACATCTCCAACTAACCCCACCCACTCATGCTTGGATTCTCTAAACATTTCTCCATCAAAGCTGCATTTGCCTTGCCCCAGCCCAAAGTTCTGGTCACAGCTCCTTCCCTCTTTCTCCATTGCTATTATTCCTTTATTTTCTCCCATCTGTTACAATTCATTCCTTTTCCCCAATCATTACCATCCTACCCGGGTCTGGCTGTTAATGCGCTAAACAGAGTTGTTCTCAACAAGCTGCCTGACATGTAGAAGCCTCTGCTATTAGGAGCAAATTACTGAAGATGTTGAAATCTGGACTGAAAACAAACAAAAACAAAATGCTGGAGACTATAACAGGTCAGACAGCATCTGCAGAGAGAGACCAGGCCAACATTTTAAGTCGATGACGACTTTGGAGCTCTGGGGCGTCATCTAGATTTGAAACGTTAGCTTGCTCTCTTTCCCTGGATGCTGTCTGACCCGCTGTGATCTGTAGAATTTTCTGTTTCCAGCCCCTGCTATCAGCATTGGTTACAATTTGGTAGGTCAGCATGAGCTGGTTGTGGATTGTGGGCGTGCGGGCAGTGGGAGTACAATTTGTGATAACAAGGTGTAGAGCTGGATGAACACAGCAGGCAGGCTGATGTTTCGGGCCTACACCTTTCTTCAGAAATTTCTGAAGAAGGGTCTAGGCCCGAAACGTCAGCCTGCCTGCTCCTCTGATGCTGCTTGGCCTGCTGTGTTCATCCAGCTCTACACCGTGTTATCTCAGATTCTCCAGCATCTGCAGTTCCTACTATCTTAGAGTGCAATTTGTATTGATTTTTGTCAGAAACCATACTCCTTGGTTCCCTCCAGCTGTGCCTGGAGCAGGTCACAGCTGGAATGGCAGTGGGCAGTACCTGTGACCTCAGCACTCCTTGGCTTGGGAAAGGAGCACGGAGCAGGTATAGTCTCCAGGGCTGATCACAATCCAGTGACCCTGCCTGAAAAGTTCATGTATGGACTTCAGCTGAGGACAGGATCTGACGGACCTCAAAGGCTGAACCATAAATTAAACTCCTGACTGCAGGAGGGTTGCAGAATTGAACACCCTGTCATTAAGATCATGGAAAATGAAGAGAAATGTGTTGAAGAGTCATTTCGATTTTTTCTAAAGGTAACTGGGGAGAATTCAAACATCAAGTAATTCAACGAACATCTGAGGGTTAGATGAGAATGAAGTTTCTTTGATACACTCCCAGGCCAGGTACAACACAAGATAAATTCAGGATAAAATTTCCCTTTACGTTGCCCCAAAACTAAAAAGTGTGTGAGGAGTTACAACATTTCTAGTCCTTCTGCTATTTCCCACCGGTCATACAATTCTTGCCCTTACTTCCAAAGATCAGGCCAAAGAGTTAAAAACATATACTTTAATTACAACATTCATCCTTTTACATTATTTAGAAATTTACATCATTAAATTTTTTACATCATTAAATTGTAACACAAAGTTCAAAATGGAGTTTCAGTGGTGCTTTAGGAGCTCTATTCGATAATCACATTAATGCAGAGCTTCCTACAATTACCAAGTTTAAAGAATCCAATACAACAGCAGAAAAGATATAATTCCACATCAGATAAAAATCAGTCCTTTTCTCTTAATAGCAGTGAGCAGATGGGATAAATAGATTTCTCTCAAAGATGCATCCAGTGCATTTGCTACTTATTATCTAATATAAACGTAAATATACACAGTTTTGAATTTAAGTTAAATGATCTAGTACAATGATTGATAGAAAGTGCTGTGCAAATGGCTTCTGCCTCCCTCACCATATCCTTCATTTCCACAATGTCTCCACAGAGCTTCTGATTATGAAATTTAGACAATGTGCTCTATACCTAAAGCCCCTATAGCTTTTACCCTTCTTCACCTGGACAAGAATTACTTAAATGCCAAAAATCTGTGGACAGATCATTCTGCACTTAACTCAAACACAGACAAAGTCACATTTGGCCTGGTTTTCTGCTTTTGTTGTGAAAATTGAAACATTGATAAAGACGCTCAGACATCATTTGTTTTCCCTGCAGCACAGCTTTTGAGCTTAGATCATTTCAATTTCACTCCCGTCCCACTTCTACAAGGAAATCTCCTTCATTGCAGAGAGCCTTTCATTTCTCCATCTTTGAGGTGTCCATCAGAGTTCTGCCCATCCAATGGCTCAGATCAGGGGGGGTATTGCAGGAAAATGATAATGGAGGGTAACATTCAAGTTATCACTCGTGTTTAAGTAATGAATCCTGAATGGATTCTCCAGGCTCCAGAGTTGTGAAGCTATGTGAAAAATGTCAGAGACCTCTATGTGTGTCACTCAGTGCAGCACACAACCAAATGTAATCGGAAAGGCTCAGTCTATGAGGAGTTACTGGATCTCAGCCAGAAAGCAGTTGAGGGTTTCTGAAGCTAGGCTACAGAATTGGGAAGAGTGGAGGCTGGTTGGGAATAAAACCCATCCTAAGTTTCCTGCTCCAGTGACTTGTGATGGAAAGTGCACACGTGCAAGTGAGATGAGGGCAGAATTTGGCTTGACTGCTATGTTCTCCAGGGGTCCTCCAACTTGCTGATACAATTAGTCTAGACCTCACACTTGAAGAATTGCTATTTAGGTGAAGCACCTAAAAGCTGCTAGTGTTTGTAGATCTCCTTGAGTTAGCACCTTCAGGGGGCAGGACAAACCTGAGAAAGGAACAAATTGTCTACAGTGTAAGGCATTCATCAATAGTCCTTCGCCAATACCCTCTGGTCAACATTCCAACAGCCAATTCAGACACTATGCACAGTAATGCTTATATTGGTAGTACCACAGTGTCAGATACTGTAAACTGACATCAGGACCCACCAACGTTTATGCACTGAAAAATAAATTATAAAATATTACAATTTCTATTCATTGATTCAGAAGACACATAGCATGAATCTTACACAGTAGTTCCCTTGCATTTGTTTTCACTTTCCAAAATGGTTCTACAGGTTTTTAGGGGGGGTGCGAGGAGAGTGTGGTGAAGAAAACAAACAATTACAAATGATACATAAGTGATTGAGACACAGCTCTGCAACAAAACTCATGGATACCTGTCCCATAAATTGTAAATAAAGTGGCTGACTAGGATCAGTTGGCCGCAAACACACACACACACACACACACACACACACACACCATCTAAAGTGCGTAACTTTAAAAAAAGAGGTCAAGTAATCACAGTACTCAATGTCACGGTATGCCACAGGAAAGTGTGTTAATACAGTATCATGTTATATGTGGGTAACTGCAGTTTAAGAATTGCTTGCAACTACTTTGTATTTTCAGCACTCTTCATGTGGCTTTGGATTAGATTTGCACATGGAGTGAAAGCCAGTCAGTGAAGATTAGTCAGAGAGGTAAATGACTCTCGCACATAATCAGATCTAGTCTGATTTCACTATCTCCTCCTGCCCCTTGCATCATACGCCAGCAATCAAGGAAGACTATAATATATAAACAACTCTAAGAACATTTATAACTCATCCCTTCTTTAGAATACACATGAAGAATTCTTAAAAATCAGCACCTTTTCAATGGTTTGAACAAAAAGTGCATCAGGGCAGGCACTAGCTGCTAGTATCATCAAACACAGTTTCCCCTCCCTTAAACTCCATAACCTAACATACAAATAGCTCAGCAACAATCTCTCCAAACACCAACTTAAAATTGATTGTTTCAGCTTTTTTTTAAAAAAAAATTCCAATTTAACACAGTTTTGTTGCTCAATCCACTTGTATTTAAAATTTCAAGTCAAGTTTTGGGTTTGTCAATTACTCCCCCTTCCCAAAAGAAGTCAAAAAGTTCACCATTGCCATTTAACCCCATGTCAGCGCCAATACCCACGAGAGATTAGTCAGTAGCTGCCAATCTATTTGCCATGTAACAGCTTGGAAAGACCTAATGACAACAATTAAAGGTTAGTCCTATTCCCAAGCAGCAATTTCCAGTGGCATGGTAGCCTTATAAAGCCCTGACTAAAGCATGCATTCCATTCAAAGTTCTTCATGATAAACAAAGTAAACAAAATAAATATTCCAGCTGTAATGATGTTTTTGGATAATCCAGGAGTTACCAGGGATTGTAGTTGGCTATGGTTTGCTGACTTCACTTATTCACATCTGTTACACACAACTAAAATCTTACAAATGCATAACTCCTGAAACTTAGAACAGATCAAGCCATCAGCTCTGAAATTAGGTTATGAAGGCTGAGCACAAGGCTATAAAATAAATTGATACTGAAAGGTATCACTTCCTTACTGCAAGTTCAAGAATCAAAGTTTACATATTATACTCCTTAAATGTATTAGTTAATAAGTTTAAAGGTATTGGCTCACACTGACAGGTTCCTACTAATGCTCAGAACAGAGATACTTCACCCTGACTTAAAGATTTCTCACGACCTACATGAAAATTAACCCAGACCTAACCACCTCTCAGGACTCACTAAGACTGGCTGCTCTAAGACAAATCTGTTTCAGTGTTGAAAGCAATTAAAATATTAAGTTTGCAAAACAAAATTTTGTTGTTATGCAATGCTTTATGGATATCTAAATCTTTACATTCAGCAGGTCATTCAGTAGGCACACACATGCACAATGGATTCTCTGCCGTGTAAACTGCCTCCTGTAACTCTTTTGTCCTTTAGTTATGGTGCAAGGCACAGTATAGCTGTGTAAAGCCTGGTCTACTAAGACAGTTTATTCAAAAAGTATGAGGAACAACTCTGTTTAAGCAGGTGAATAACTTGCATGCTGAATGCGTATTGATTCTGGTGCTACACTGCATGATGAACATTTCTTCACCACAGAACCGGGAAATGGAAGAATTAAATAATTTTATCACATATAGGGCATGCTGGGGTGATTCAGTTAACGTTGATAACTAGTAAGTGCAGAACAAAGTTTCCCACTTCACTTGATATTCTGATACATGAGAGAACGGGTTCCTTTTTGATTGGGTTGATTTGAACAAAGCAACAGTTGTGAGAAGTGGCTGCAATGTTATCAGGTTTCATGAAAGCACTTATGGGAGGTCCACATTAGGAAACAACATACACAGTTTGTGCCAGATTCCAGTGATACTTTTAAGGTTTTGCATTTCTGCGGTGGAAGCCTGGAGACATTGTGCTTCAATGGCTTGGATGAATGATTAGGTTCACAGAATTGCCAGAAAGATGGGAAATTTGAATATTTCTGAGACACTCCCATGAAAGGCAGTCTTTATTTCATACACTAACCAGTGTTATCTAGAAGAGTTTAGCTTGCAGATTAAAAAGTGAAATTACAGAGAGTACCCACATCTGTACAACACCAATGAAAAGTGCTGTTAAAAATGCAATGAATTACACGGAAGATTCTCAAAAAGTGTTCCTTCAAGTTGTGGAAGGTTTGGCAAAGATTGCCTACAACTTCCTGGGTTTTCCCAGCTATTATTTGAAAAAGGTAGCAAATCAGCATTAAAAAGGCATACATTTTAAACATGTCTTACTGTATGAACACATATTCCTCTTAAAAAATAAACATTTCTAATTTACAAAATAAAATTAATGAAACGTGCAGTTGAATTTAAAAAGGCAGCTCCGAGACTGTTTCCATTAAAGTGCATGGCCATTGGCTGCTCGAATGGCAGAGGCATTCTCATAGATGAGGGCGGGTGTGTTTTGGTAGATTATATCATCAGATTTCTGTTTGCTTGCTTTGATGTACTCCATGGCACACTGGTTCAAGAAGACATACTGCGACTGGGGAGACAAAAGTGGAGTTAGTAATGAATGGCACCACAATAGCTCTGTGTGCACCGTGACCTTCAAATTAATGCGTTCAAGATGGACCACATCTCTCAATAACACTTTACCCCTCAAGTGAGGCTAAGAACCCAACTCTGTTTGCTTGTCCAGTTAGACCAACAATATTAGTGAACTTATCCCTCGAAACAAAAATCGGATCTAGTAATCTCTACTCTCATATTGGCATCACTAACAGCCCCTCTCTCTCTATTAGTGAAACCAACCATGCCATCCACCCAGATTCCTACAATGAGACAGACAGTGCCAATCATCCATTCTCAATGAAGCTCTGCCAAGCACGCATATGACCCATGTCTCGGAGTGACAGTCACTCATCTTTGCATAGTAACAATCAAGTGCAAACATGCTTCCTCCTGGTCAGACTATGGGCTAGATTCTTCTATCCTGACATGGGACCAACTTCTTTTAGGTTGACTTTAAATATGGTAGATGGAATTGAATACTGGAATTCCCAACTTCAATCCTGTGCCTGGATATTTTTGATTGGTATGAGCTAAAGGGGCAGGCTGCCAGCTCTCATCTGACTACCCGGAGTTGTTAGCCCCATTCACATGTCACAATACAACATTATGATAAGTCAGTCAGTGTGGAGCTGGATGAACACAGCAGGCCAGGCAGCATCAGAGGAGCTGGAAAGCTGACGTTGTGGCCCAAAACGTCAGCTTTCCAGCTCCTCTGATGCTGCCTGGCCTGCTGTGTTCATCCAGCTCCACACTGTTGTCTCTGACTCCTGCATCGGCAGTTCTTACTATCTCATTATGATAAGTCATGTGTGTTTAATATAGGGACTGATGTAAGAGCTTTGCTTCAAAAAGAATAGTGGTCATTAAATAGACCAACACTGTGGAAGTGGATAAATCTGCAGACATAGTATAGCCCACAGGATAATGTGATATTCTGGTTTGCACAATAGTGGAATTATTATTTGACTGTGTACATTGTCCCCTTTTTATTCATGTGTTCCTTGAATTCCAACTCAGCCATCTATTTAGCTTGTTTAAATCTTTAGTAATGGCTGAATTTCTCAGTATCTTAAAAAGCACAGATATTTTGGAGGTTCTGACCATAGTTATTTGATGGAATCTCACTCTTTTACCCAGCAACATTTCAAACCCCACTACCAGAGGGTAGTTAAGAGTCAACCCCAATGGATCCAGCTCAGTCAGGATTGTTGGCATATTTATGAAATGGGCTATGAGCTTGATTTCATTGAGTTTCATTTGCTGTTAGGAGAATTGATATTTTAAGTGGATTTTAAAGTCGTCTTTCTTCTTTCTGACAGACTTAGGCTTCCCCACATTATTACGTTGCTCACGTATTATGCACATTATAGATACTGGATGAATGGGTAGGAGGGAGTCAAGGGTTAATCCAGGCCAAGGGATGTATGGGAGTTGGAAGGGCAGAAGGGAGCTACAAGGGAGTTACAAGGGAGCTAAAGGGGGCTCCCTTTGCCCCATTTTACACCCTTTGCCCCCTTTTTAGCTCCCTTCTGCCCCTCCAACTCCCATGCATCCCTTGGCCTGGATTACCCCTCGACTCCTTCATACCCATTCATCCTGTATCTATAATGTGCATAATACGTGAGCAACGTAATAATGTGGGGAAGCCTAGGTCTGTCAGAAAGAAGAAAGAAACTCAATGAAACTCAGCCATTACTAAAGCTAAAAGGGGGGCTAAAGGGGGCGAAGGGACTAAAAGGGGGCTGGAAGATTGAGGTTGCTGAGGAATTGTGGTTGAGGGTATTAGTGATCATGTGATGTCAAAGACAGCATGGGTATTTAAGGGCTGAAGTGAGTAGGGGCCATGCACTTCTTTCTAGAACTGGACCGATGTGCCAGTGGGTTCTTCAATCTGGTCACCTCAGCCTCTGCTCCAATCTTAGATCTGCTTCAGTAGGCAGTGACCCTAACCCATCCCTAGCCCCACCATGAAAACAGTGTGGACAGGCACCAACCAGCAGGTGGGACTGCAATGTCTGGAAATCGCTCAACTCCCATTTGCTGCCTCCAAGGTTAAAGTCCTTCTCCAACTGACCATCCATCCTAGCATAGGCCTCCAAATGAAACTCAGCATTAATTTTTCCTATAAAGAAGGGGGAGAAGGGCTGTGGGGAGAGTGCAGACTGGCGAGACAAGGAAATGGGGGCCAACAAACCAGAGCAAAAGATAAAGACATCAAATAAAAGAAGATGAAACAAAATTATTCAAGGATGGACATAAATGCTTTCATATAAATGCAGAGACTGTAGGAGAACCTAGTGTGGACTTAGATACATATAAGAACATTAATACAGTTTGAATTTCAGAGACACGGTTGACAACAGAAGATGATCAAAAGCTGGAACTGAGAGAGTATAAAGTGTTTTCAGATGAATACAAAGGGAGGCAGAAGAATTACATTATTAATAAGGAAAAGATATCGCTACTACAGTTTGTTTTCAGTTAGTACTGAAGGTGATGAAACTGAAACAATGTAAATACAGCAGTAAAGGCAGCAAATTATTAGCTTAGAAGTGAATTATTAATTGACCAAAAGCATGAGATGAGCAGGTGGATGAGCAGTTGGGATACAGAGTAAATTATTAAAGGATTTGGTAGGTCTGACTTTTAAACAATTAGCATATAGCAAATATATTGAATGCATTCTTCATAAATTCCAGTCATAGTGAAGGGAACGGTGTAATTCACAGCTGAAAATATCAAGGATGAGAAATGCAGAAACTGGGAGGGCTAAAGAGTGACGAGATTTCCTGGCATACCATGACATCTGAAGCTCTTCAGGGAATCAGGATGTTAAAAGTGGCCATGTTTCAGTTGCTAGTTTTCAGGAAAACAATAATTACCAATGACTGCAGGATGAGAAGTATACTTTCCAGTATTCAACCACAGACTGGTAAAGCCTAACATTCACAATGAGGGAAACATATTAGAAAATTCTGAGTGTGCTATAAATTGACATCCAGGACTACAGCTTGGAGCAGTCAACATGGTGTTATGAAAGATGGTGCCATTTCTTAAACTTATTGAAAATACTTGTGGAGCCACTTAGCTATTTGCCTGTATTATTTCATGGAATGCGAGCATCACTGGCAAGGCTAGCATCTTTTCCTGCCCAAAGTGTCTAACAACTGAGCTGGCAAAGGCCATTTCATAGGGTAGTTAAGAGTCAACCACATTGTTATGGGTGTGGAGTCACATGTTGATCATTTGCTGGCGAGTGAACAAGAGTAAAGGAACAGATATAATTTATAATGACTGGTAATTCTGCATGGTTTTAAAATGTGGGTAAACATTATCTCTACCTCGCTACCTCATCAGAAAAAGAAAGGAAATTTCAGGTGAGCTCAAGTTCATGGATGGTTAAGATTGGAGACCAACCAGACAGCATCAGAGAAGGCTGGTCAGGGGAGGTTAGAAAGGGATATAACCTCTTTAGCAGAAGCTGATCTGAGGTAGGTGTGCAGATGATGTATGTTAAGGAATTAGTAATCGGTTGATCTTGAGAATTGAGAAGATATGGGGCCAGAAAATTGGATCAGAGTTAAACAGGACAATAAGGTTACATCTAGCTCAGCCTTGCTCCAGTCATTGGCTCAAGAGGAGAGCAGATTTGGGTGGCATTATTTAAAGCCAATGGGTTTAATCTTCCTTTTATTTAATTGGAGGAAATTATAAGGAAATGGCTTTAATCTCCCTAATGTTTAAATCGGAGGAAATTGTGGCTCAGCTAAGATTAAACATTGGATAAATCGTGTAAAAATACAGAAGCAGTGAAGTTCCGCCTAAAATGTAGCCCTCTGGTAAACGTCTAGAGAGGTGGTCATGAAATAAAAATGGGTGACGTCAACATACATGCAGACCTTGCTGTGACGTCAGCCAGGAGGAGGAGGAGGACAGTCCATTTGGGACGTGCTAGCCTAATGGTGACTATGTAACTAACATCGTTTGTTGTAAAATAAAAATCCATCTGCTTCATTAATATCCTTTAGGGAAGGAAATCTGCTGTTCTTATCAGGTCTGACTCAAGTGACTTCAGACCTGCAGCAACATGGCTTTCTCTTCTCATGAGTTCTAAATAAGGGTCCCGACCCGAAGCATTGACTTTCCTGCTCCTCTGATGCTGCCTGGCCTGCTGTGTTCCTCCAGCTCCACGCTATGTTGACACTGGTTTTCTCTTACCTGCCCCCCTAATATGGCCGAGAGCGCATCAGTTCAAGGGCACTGAGGGATGACGACAAATGCTTTCCAGCAATGCTGACATTCCAAACAGAAATAAAGAAACAAATAAAGTGATCCTAAAGGTTTCACCCTGACATGCTGACTAGGAACACAGACAATCTTTGAAAGTAGAAATACAAGTCAGTAGCGTATCACACTGACTGTTAAAAGTTACTAAATTTGAAGTAACCAGGTATCTGTTAATAAAAACAGGGTTCTTGCAATATCAAGAGGTTCTCAGTATTATGATCAGCTGGCAGTGTCATCTGCTCCATTTCAGTAATAATTGCGTGGAAAATGAGTAGACTAAAAATACATTAGATTATGATGGGTGTAAAGTCAGGGCTGCATAAAATCATTGAAATAAATATTCCCATTATCCTGTGCAAAAATCAAACCGTGGATTTCAATAGTTTTAAACTTAGTAGCACTTATTCATAAATATGGCAAAAACATGAACTGCATTGCCTGGTTTGCTGGACTCAAACAAGGAAGAAATAAAAGAACAAATATGACCCGAGATTATCAGTGTCAAACAATGAGAGCTGGTCTTTTGGGTGCGCCCTTATACATTAATCCATAGTTATGGGGAAAATAACAGATTCTCATTGATTGACATGCATTGGTGGCAATGTAGATCTCCAGGCTTTATGATCTTGACTCTGTGTATAGATGAGCATTTAGACTATTCACTGGTGCCTGGTGTCTTACCTCAGTTTGCACCATCAGCGGCCGGTTCATTCGCAGCTCATAAACTATACCCCAGATATCAACCTGTCTTTTAATGTCTATCTGATAAATCATACGATCGATGGAGATGAACGTCCCTGTTCGGCCAACTCCAGCACTGAAAGAAAGGAAACTAAAAGTTAGTCACATTGCAATTACTATGGGCAGTCAAATCTTTGTCCCATTAGCCAGATCACACCGTCTATGTTACCAATGAAAGGAAAAAAATTACTGCATGAGAAGCTGAATGGCATAATATTAAAGTATCAGTCTAACACTTTAAGGCTGCAAGAGTTCTGCAAGAACTGTTCACTGCAAGAGTTCTTTGCGAAATGAATATGAGCTGACTTTATTACCTGGTGAGTACAGATTTATAGCACAAGATTATCCCTAAATCAATGCAAATTGGTAATCTCACTCAGAGAGAGTAAAATAAATGATTGCAAGGGGAATGGAAAAATAAAGTCACACCATTACCTCTTGGAACGTTTTTCAATTTTTGAGAAGATACTATGTACAACAAAGTTGATGACAATGGCAATAATGACGTAGTAGCAGCTGCATTTTAGGGAAATATTATTTTGTATCTTGCTTTAAAATGACGCCACTTAATGTTGTCACAGAGAAACAGGAGGACTTCCAGTTCCCAGGACTAATAGCTCTCACAGTGACACACAAAATAAATAATCCAAAGGGAGAGATAATGTGGAAATCTTTTAATGGTAACACACATGCGACTGAAGTACTGAGTAGAACATAGAACATAGAACATTACAGCGCAGTACAGGCCCTTCGGCCCTCGATGTTGCGCCGACCTGTGAAACCAATCTGAAGCCCATCTAACCTAAACTATTCCATTATCATCCATATGTTTATCCAATGACCATTTAAATGCCCTTAAAGTGGGCGAGTCTACTATTTTTGCAGGCAGGGCATTCCACGCCCTTACTACTCTCTGAGTAAAGAACCTACCTCTGACGTCTGTCCTATATCTATCATCCCTCAATTTAAAGCTATGTCCCCTCGTGCTAGCCATCACCATCCGAGGAAAAAGGCTCCCACTGTCCACCCTATCTAATCCTCTGATCATCTTGTATGTCTCTATTAAGTCACCTCTTAACCTTCTTCTCTCTAACGAAAACAGCCTCAAGTCCCTCAGCCTTTCCTCATAAGACCTTCCCTCCATACCAGGCAACATCCTGGTAAATTTCCTCTGCACTCTTTCCAATGCTTCCACATCCTTCCTATGATGCGGTGACCAGAACTGTACGCAATACTCCAAGTGCGGCCGCACCAGAGTTTTGTACAGCTGCAACCTGACCTCATGGCTCCGAAACTCAATCCCTCTACCAATAAAACCTAACATACTGTACGCCTTCTTAACAACGCTATCAACCTGGGTGGCAACTTTCAGTGATCTATGCACATGGACACCGAGATCTTTCTGCTCATCCACACTACCAAGAATCTTACCATTAGCCCAGTACTCTGTATTCCTGTTACTCCTTCCAAAGTGAATCACCTCACACTTTTCTGCATTAAACTCCATTTGCCACCTCTCAGCCCAGCTCTGCAGCTTATCTATGTCCCTCTGTAACCTGCAACATCCTTCCGCACTATCCACAACTCCACTGACTTTGGTGTCATCCGCAAATTTACGAACCCATCCTTCTACGCCCTCATCCAGGTCATTTATAAAAATGACAAACAGCAGTGGCCCCAAAACAGATCCTTGAGGTACGCCACTAGTAACTGAACTCCAGGATGAACACTTCCCATCAACCACCACCCTCTGTCTTCTTACAGCTAGCCAATTTCTGATCCAAACCGCTAAATCACCCTCAATCCCATGCCTCCGTATTTTCTGCAATAGCCTACTATGGGGAACCTTATCAAACGCTTTACTGAAATCCAAATACACCACATCAACCGCTTTACCCTCATCCACCTGTTTGGTCACCTTCTCGAAGAACTCAATAAGGTTTGTGAGGCACGACCTACCCTTCACAAAACCGTGTTGACTATCCCTAATCAAATTATTCCTTTCTAGATGATTATAAATCCTATCTCTTATAATCCTTTCCAACACTTTACCCACAACCGAAGTAAGGCTCACTGGTCTATAATTACCAGGGTTGTCTCTACTCCCCTTCTTGAACAAGGGGACAACATTTGCTAGTCTCCAGTCTTCTGGCACTATTCCTGAAGACAATGATGACATAAAGATCAAAGCCAAAGGCTCTGCAATCTCCTCTCTAGCTTCCCAGAAAATCCTAGGATAAATCCCATTCGGCCCAGGGGACTTATCTATTTTCACACCTTCCAGAATTGCTAACACCTCCTCCTTATGAGCCTCAATCCCGTCCAGTCTAATAGACTGTATCTCAGTATTCTCCTTGACTACGTTGTCTTTTTCCTGTGTGAATACTGACGAAAAATATTCATTTAGCACCTCTCCTATCTCTTCGGACTCCACGCACAACTTCCCACTACTGTCCTTGACCGGCCCCAATCTTACTCTAGTCATTCTTTTAGTCCTGACATACCTATAGAAAGCTTTAGGGTTTTCCTTGATCCTACCTTTCCTTGATCTAACCAGGAATAAATCAGTGGAAACAGTATGATCCAAATAAATTTAATTTACAATTCCTTCCCAGCTCCTCAATCTGTCTGTGCAATTCTCTGTCTCATCATCTTGGATCAGCAGTGGCTATAAAGAATCTTTGGACTCAATGACAATTTTTGGGCATTGGGACCATTCTTGGATCAGCAGGTAGTTCATGTGGATGTTCAGGCACAATCTTATGGGAGGCAGCCAATTAAGAGCCTGTCTCAAGTATTGGTAGAGTCATACAGCATGGAAACAGTCCCATTGGTGCAACTAGTCCATGCAGATCAGGTTTCCCAAACTAAACTAGTCCCATTTGCTTGCATTTAGCCCATAAACCAGTTAGGAGCAACTTTAATTCGCTTCCTGCCGCTGCCAAGTGGTTTCACATCCCCACACTGAAGCTACCACCAGAAAAACACTGATTCAATTCAGTCATCGCCATTTTCATATTTTCCTGGCCCATTTCAAGGAAAATTACTCCCCAACGCATAGAATAAAATGCAGCATGTGCATGCCGACTTCATCATCCAGCAGAAATCCCGTGCAAGTAAATGAAATCTGGTGAGAGTATCTTTAGCACCTACTAAATTTTCTACTGGGCCCTCTTTGGGAATGTTTGTGACCTTTGTTGCCAAATTATCATCTGAAATGGCTTCTCTTCACCTCTACACCATTACCTCTGATGTTCCCCAAAGATCCATCTTCAGTCCCTCCCATTTCTCATCTACAAGTTGTCCCTCATGTGGCATCATCTTACGTCAATTTCACATGAATAGTGACAGCATCCATGTCTGACTCACCAGCCACATCACTTTACTCAACCCTTCTACGGTCTCAAAATTGTCAAACTGCTTATCTAAAAATAAATTCCCTCAAACTTCATATCAGGGGGACCAGAGGCACTGTTTTCAATTCCTGCTACAAAGTCAGTTCTGTTTCAAACTACGCTGCGCATATACCTGCACTAGAGCAGTTCAAGACACTGTCTCATCAAGATCTTCTCAAGGGCAATTAGAATTGAACAAGTGCTAGCCTTGCAAGCATTGCCTGTATCACACAAATTAGTTTATTAAAAAAAAGAAGTGACATCCCTCGCATTGATAAGGTTATTCACAACTTTGGCATCATACCTGATCTCAAGATGAATTTCTCAGGTTCCTTTCATCATACCAATAGCAGCTTCTCCCATTTCCATCTCTGTAACATTGCACATGTCCAGTCCTGCATCAGCTCATTTGTTGCTGAAAACCTCACCATAACATGACTTTGTCATCTCTACACTTGATGCTTACGTTAGGTTCTGGCTGGCCTTGCACATAAGCCAAAGCTATCCAAACCTCTTGGTCTTTGTCTTAACTTGCACCAAGTCCCATTTACTTATCAATCATATGGTCACTGACTCACATTAAGTCTTGGATAAGCATTACCTCAATCATTGTAGTTTTCAACTCCCTCCATGATCTCTCCCTGCCCTACCTCTGTAGTCTCTGCCAGCCTACAAGGTATCTCTATATTCCTCCAACTCGAGCCTGAGACATTCTTGATTTCAATTGGTCCACCGTGGTTGGCAGTGACCTTTCAGCTATTAATGTGATAGGCTTTGAAATTCTCTCTGTGAACCTCTCTGCTACACATCACTTTTCCTCTTTCAATTACTCCTTAGAACATATTTCATTAGACCCAAATATATCCTTTTGTACACAATGGCGACATATATCTTGTTTGGAAGTAGATCACTATGATTTAGATTGTCAAACCAGGCAGCAACTAAAATTGCTCTCTTCATGTGAGTGGGGAAGGAATAATACTCAAAGACTCTGTAAAAAGAAACAGTTTACACAGGCCAAGCCCTAGGCCCAACTGACCAGCTACTGATTTGGGCGATAGCATGGTCAACAACATGATGTCATCACTAAAGAATGGACAAAAACTGACAGGAAGTCACTTCATTTCTACTTTTGGTTTAGACTTTGATCCACAGATGTTGTTCCCTTTTGCCTATGTTTCTCAGCCCACAACATTCCTAAAACAAAGCCCTTCTCCTCTCACCTGTCACGTGTGTCCTTTTTTCTGAATGAACATGGGAATCTTTGAATTTAATGTGGGTATAACTTAATTTTAAATATTAATATAATGCTTTGCCAAATGTTAGAGGATGGGCTTGGTACAATAAGTAACTTTCTCATTTTCTTATTTGTTGATGAAAAAATTTAGAGAAAGTGTTGTTTATTTTAGATGGTGCTGGGAGTGAGGTATTAACCATCCTTGAGATAATGCAGTGGAAAAGTGGGGATCAACCTCTGGTGCACTATTCCCGTCAGGGTTTGAGACACCTGTGAAATTTTGTTCAGTAACCCGTTTGTCCAGCAATATTGCATCAAGTTCTGCACAAATTCAATTGTCAAAAAGAGAGAAAGTAACAGATAAAGATTTACTGCGCAGAGCCTAAATGTTTCAGTGCAAAAGGTATAACACACAACAATCAGTATTGAATACATGACATTGAAACAGGAGTAGAATGGTGGTCTCACTACCTGCAGTGTACTACAGTAGGTCCACTCATTGGGTACTGATTAATGTACTGCCGCACTAGGTTCCGGAACTCAATAAGGACTCCTGTGGTGCTCGGAACTCCATGGTCAGGCCACCCTGTAAAGTGAAAGTGCCGCAGGGCCCGTTTGTCTCCAGATTTATCCTGCAGAAAACAAAGAAATAGATGGCATTATCAGAGGGATTGAACAGGCAAAGACAAACAACAAACAACCTGTCACTCTTGATAATTTGCAAGGATAGTATAGACCTTATTGCTGAAGACAAGGCAAGGAACTACTTTGCCGCTGGCAGTTATTGGTGTATCTACTAACTTCTCCTTTTCGCTTACTTCCACTACTCTAAACTAGCAACACAAGACTTGAAGGATGACAAAGAAGATAATTCCATGCTTTAGGTTACTGAACATTTAGGTAGAGGGAGCTGCATCTACTCTCATTCAAAGAAATACTCTGAATCTGGCAGGAGAACCAAAGGACATATATTCTGATTGAGAAACATCATGAGATAACTTCAATTCAATACATGATTTCTTTGTACAGTGTTATCCTTGATTTAAGGAACAGACTGCCAACTGTGCATTAAAGCCGGACTCTGCAAAAGGATCCAAAAGAGAATTTGATCAATTCCTAAGAAAACAAAGGCTCCAGAGATATGAAGTTAGCATAAAGATGACAACTGACCATGTGAGGTATTGTCAGGGGTTGGTCATTAAAGGAGGTGGACAAGTAGGCATTTGAGTTGTATAATCCAAATGACCTAAATATCCATGTGAAACACACTTGATGCCTACTTTTAGTAAGCTTGGCATATACTGAGCGCTGAGTGAAACAAAGTGATTTTTATTGGTTCAATATGCTTTTGCAACTCATGAAAACCTCCTTCAATCCTGCCCATGATTCAACAGGCCGCAACAAAAGTTTGGGTAAGTTTATTCTATTTATCCCAATCCATGTAAAGCTCTCAGACTTTTGGTAAATTGCATTCCATTTGCACGTCAGGTATGTTTGATTCCTCATCAACTCAGGACAGAATTAACAGGCAGCAGGGTTATCCATCCTGCCACTCAGAGAGATGGCGAGGAACACATCTACTTGGCAGCAAGTTCTGCCTCAGAGTCCTGTGCACCCCAATGCTACCTCTGCCTGTTACTTATCTCTTATCAGGAGTATCACCGTGAGAATGATGAGTGCTGGCACTGCTCGTAGTACCATGAATCAATACCAGGACTAACAGGACAATCGTGATGGGACTCGGGGTGGTTGTGAGTTGGGAGGCCCACGGTGTTGGGGAGGAGAGTTTTCTTGTGGGAGAAACTCAGAAGGGGGGAGTGGAGAAACAGACCTTGTGGGAGGAGGCCAATCAGGAAAACAGGGAGCATTAATACAAACCTCAAAAATTGTGGCTGGGCAGGTTGCAACTCTTAAAACTTAATGGCCTTAATTGGGCAAGGTATCTGTCCCAGACCTTCCCATAACTTTGTTTGATTTAATTGATTTATTGTCACATAAACGGAAGTACAGTGAAAAGCTTTGTTTACGAGCAGTACATACAGATCATAGGGTGAAAGAAAACCAGGCAGAGGCATATAAGTTACCTTGCACAGGGCATGCGCTAGACAAGACCAACATTAGCAACATCAGCATTATTTGAAGTTACACAGTCCATTCATCAGTCTAATAGGTCTTCTTCAACCTGCTGGTGCGTGTGTTCAAGCTTCTGTATCTTCTGCCTTACGGAAGAGGCTGAAGGAGATCATTACCAGGGTGGGAGGGCACTTGATGACGTTGGCCGGCTTTCCGCGGCAGTGAGCCGTGTAAATAGAGTCCATGGATGGAAGGTTGGCTTCCGTGATGGTCTGGGCTGTGCACACCACCTTCTGTAGTTTCTTACGGTCCTGCGCAGAGCGGTTGTCGTACCAGGCCATTATGCACCCGGACAGTATGCTTTCTATGGTGTGTCTGTAGAAGTCGGTGACGGACCAAATGTCAAATTTCCAAAGTTGTCTGAGGAAGAAGAGGCGTTGTTGTACCTTCTTAACTATCGCATATACACGGGAAGTCCAGGACAGGTTGTCAGTTATTGTTACTCTGACGAACTTGACGCTCTCCAACCTCTCAACCTCAGCTCCATTGATGCAGATGGAGGGGGGGGGGTGTTCTCCTCCCTTCTTTCTGAAGTCAATGATCAGATCTTTAGCTTTGCTGACGTTGAGAGAGAGGTTGTTCTTATTGCCAAGTGGAGGATCCATCTCGGCCTCCTCCAGTGGTCCCCAGCATTACAGATACCAGTCTTCAGCCAATTCGATTCACTCCACGTGATATCAAGGAATGGTTGGAGACACTGGATACTGCAAAGGCTAGGGGCCCTGACAACATTCTGGCAATAACACTGAAGACTTGTGCTCCAGAACATACCACTCTCCTAGCCAAGCTCATCCCATACAGTTACAACACTGCTATCTACCCGACAATGGGGAAAATTGCCCAGGTATGTCCTGTACACAAAAAGCAGGACAAATCCAACCCGGCCAATTACCGCCCCATCAGTCTACTCTCGATCATCAGTAGAGTGATGGAAGGTGTCAGTAACAGTGTTATCAAGCAGCACCTGCTCAGAAATAACCTGCTCAGCGACGCCCAGTTTGGGTTCCACCAGGGCCACTCAGCTCCTGATCTCATTACAGCCTTGGTTCTAACATGGACAAAAGAGCTGAATTCCAGAGGTAAGGTGAGAGTGACAGCCCTTGACATCAAGAAGCCCGAGTAAAACTGGAATCAGTTGGTGTCAGGGGGCAAACTGTCTGGTGGTTGGAGTCAGACCTGACACATAGGAAGATGGTCGTGGTTGTCAGAAATCAGCCATCTCCGCTCCAGGACATCTCTGCAGGAGTTCCTCAGGGTAGTGTCCTAGGCCCAACCATCTTCAGCTGCTTCATCAATGACTTTCCTCCATCATAAGGTCAGAAGTAGGAATGTTCCCGGATGTTTGCACAATGTTCAGCATCATTCGCAACTCCTCAGACATTGAAACCGTCTGTATCCAAATGCAATGAGATTTGGACAATATCCAGGCTTGGGCTGACAAGTGGCAAGGAACATTTGTGCCATACAAATGCCAGGCTATGACCATCACCAATGAGAGACAATCTAACCACCACCCCTTGACATTCAATGGTGTTACCACCACTGAATCCCCCAATTTCAACATCCTGGGAGTTGTCATTGATCAGAAACTCAACCGGACTCACCACATAAACACAATGGCTACAACAGCAGGTCAGGAGCTAGGAATACTACAGCGAGTACCTCACCTCCTGATTCCCCAAAGCCTGTCCACCATTTACAAGACACAAGTCAGGAGTGTGATGGAATACTCCCCACTTGTCTGGATGAGTGCAGCCCCAACAACACTCAAGAAGCTTGACACCATCCAGGACAAAGCAGCCTGCTTGATTGGCACAACATCCACAAGCATCTGCTCCCTCCACCACCGACGCTCAGGAGCAGCAGTGTGTACTGTCTACAAGATGCACTGCAGAAATTCACCCAAGATCCTCAGACAGCACCTTCCAAACCCAGGACCACTTCCATCTAGAAGGACAATATCAGTAGATACACGAGAACGCCACCCCTTGCAAGTTCCCCTCCAAGCCACTCACCATCCCGACTTGGAAATATATTGCCATTCCTTCACTGTTGCTGGATCAAAATCGTGGAATTCCCTTCCTAATGGCATTGTGGATCAACCTACAGAAGGTGAACTGCAGCGGTTCAAGAAGGCAGCTACCACCACCTTCTCAAAGGGAACTAGGATTAGGCAATAAATGCTGGCTAGCCAACGAGGCCCACATCCCACAAAAATACATAAATAATTTTTTTTTTAAAAATGTAAAACATGCAGCAAAACAAAACTCGAACTACTCCCCAAAGTTATCACTGTACAGTCACTCGAAAATTCAGGGAAATTCCTTTCGTACCAAATCTGTAGGTTTGACTTAACTGCTTCTTCTCTGTTCTCTGTTCATGAGCTGCGAGGCCTTTTCCCTTGACAACTAAGAGCTTAGATTTTCCCAGACTTTTAATAATCTGTAGAGTACAAACCAAATATTCCCAATCTGAAAGTTTTACAAAATTATACTCTTTCACTGAGTTAATTTATTTTGTTAACTGCTTTGAACGGCTATGTTTCTAGGTTGCTCCTGACCCCAGGCAAGTCTCCTTCAAATTGCCCAAATGCCTTTGAAATAAATTTAAATAAAACCCTCCTAATCAGAGATTCTGATAAAATAATAGCTTGTATTCTCTCTCCAGAATAGCTTGTATTCTCTCATCACTGTAACACTCGGACACACATCAGGATGTAATCTAATCACGAACATCAGCCTGTGTAAGCACTATGTTAGCCCATGCTGTCTATCATCAAACTGACACCAGGTCCCCCACCAAGATACTCAAACACCTTTACAGGCACATGGTTACGAGGGGAAAGGATTGTCCAAGTAATTAAATCCATGTGGTAGCCGGTGACGGAGTTGGAAGTGTGCGTTTCCAATGCTCTGGGCAACAAAAGAAAATATTTTTGGCCATTGCGATTAAGACAGAGATTACATCATGTGTTTTGCTTGATGACAGCAGCTGTAGTTTCTATGACTCTCTATTTCATCCATCGTGTACCTCATTGTCTGCTGTCAGAATCCAAGCTGTGGTCAATGATTCACTTCTTTTAGTCTGAATTTCTCTGACTTATGTAAAGTCCCTAAACCATTAGATGACTTACCTTTACTATCGTGAAATCCCTGATGGTCCAATCTTGGAGAACTATTTCCGATGTCAAAGTAACAATTTTGTCTTCAAAGATGAGGGGGCGTTCAGTTGGCCAATACTGCTCACATTTTGCCTAGCATGACAAATTAATAAAAAATAAAGTATGGCTGACAATTTCAGAGCATTCCGATGACGACTTTTTTTTTGATCAAATTCATGGAGTAGAATGTAAATTATATTAAGGAATATATTCTTAGACCTTTTGTACACAACAGAAATGATGTTGCTGTGCTGTAAGATAATAGAACTCAATGTTAATCACAGAGCTTTATTACAAAACGTAATTTTAGTAATAGGTCTGTGATATTTCTTATCTCTAATAGACACACATTTCAGTGCAAAATAAATGTGCAATTATCTTGATTATATACTTAAGCTATCAATCATACAAATGTTTCACAGATCAAAAAGAATAGTTTGGGAATTTTTTGTACGCCATAATTGATATCAGTACAAAGACTTCTTAAGTTATGAAGACCTAACTAAATGATGCAAGCTCCATAGGCACACTAAGTCAGGAGCTATTTAATGCTCAGATGTATTTTTTGATGTGGAACATCTGACTCAATTGGGGCATCACGTGTAAAATTGCCATCTATTATGGATGCTGCTCATTTTAAAATATTAATCCATCTCCATGTGTTCAAATGGGTGTGTGTGATCTTTTTACTGATTTTGCTGAGACCTATTCAGTCATCTTATGACTTGGCAGGATATCCAACAGTTTTGGCAAGTCAAAAGCGACAGGTCATTAAAAAGGGCGCACTAAGGAAAGAGACTATTCAGGAAAATCTTTTACTCTAAGATCCCACTGAAACTTCCGATCAGGATATCCCGACTGCTGCACAGAGATATGTTTCTCACACTGAGCTGAATATGTTATAACCTACGTTATGCATATTCCACACAGGGACTCCACAGATGCTGCTGTTCTCTTTCAGGCCTTACCATATTTCTCAGACCCATCAACTGCCTCACAGAAAATGTCTTTTGACTCACTACCAACCGCCAGTGGCCTTTATTCTCATTTTCCCGTCAAAATCCTATCCCAAGCAAGGTCTGTCCTAAGCCTGTAAAACTTGTGTCAGTTTCTCAAAAGGTAGTCCTCCCGGATTCACATTTTTTGAAACCTTACATTTAGATAAGGGACAGACAAGTTTCCTGGAGAGCAATATTCTCTCGTTGTGATATCCTTGAGAGTATAATTTTCTTTTGATATATTGTTGGTGATTATCACTACCATTGCTTGGGTAATAATAGGTCAAATGCTACAACTAATGTACAGTTTGTTCCAATAGATTAATGTCCAGTTGGCAAAGGTAAAAAATTACTCCCATGAAATGCACTTATAAGGCCTCATGTCTGAAGCATTTTCAATGAGAATTTAAGAAAACACAATGCTGTTTTTACTTTTTCAAGACAAAGTCTTAGCTACATCCAACACCCACGATGTGACAGTGCTGAGATTTAGGGCGAATAGTTATACGTGGAGAGTTTGGGGCCGGTGTTGGAGTACGAACACTCAGTTACTGATTGGCGAAAAGTATGCAATGTGGATTCACATTTACAATGCAATGTTAAACCTTTTCGAAGATCAATAAGAATGAGAATGATGAACCTACTCTCCCTTGCTCCACACATTTGGTGAGCATGACAATGGCTGGCACATAATGTTCCCAAATCATTCGCCAGAAATCGCTGACTGTATTCATTAGTGGTCCCTGTGCAGCAATGAACTCCTTCTTCGAATTATAGCCCTGGAAAGAAACGGAACATTGGGTTAAGAAACAAGGGAGAGCCACAATCACTCTTCAGGAAGGTTATAGAATCCCTACAGTGTAGAAGCAGGCCATTCGGCCCATTGAATCCATAATCAACCCTGTGAAGAGGATCCCACCCAGACCCAAACCCTGACCCTATCCCTACAACAACAAAAACAGAAGATGTTGGAAAAGCTCAGCAGGTCTGGCAGCATCTGTGAAGAACAAAATCAAGAGTTAACATTTCAGGTCTGGTGACCCTTCCTTACCCTATCCCTGTAACCTTGGATTTCCCATGGCTAATGCACCTAACCTACACAGCCCCGGACCCTACAGACAATTTCACATGGCTAATCTGTCTAACCTGCTCATCTTTCGACAGTGGGAGGAAACTCATGCAAACATGGGGAGTGTGCGCAAACTCCACTCAGACAGGCTTGAGTCGAACCCTTGTTTTTGTAAGGCAGTAGTGCTAATCACTGAGCCATCGTGCTGCCCCGCAAGTTTTATGATGACTATAACAATGAACGATACTGACTGCTGGACCAGTCACTGCAGATGATGTAATAGCATCCAGTGTCACTTCGACATTCTGCATGGGTGTCATGACATACAAGTGCATCTTTGTCCAATCATAATTTGTCAACTAGACTTTCCTAACAGTTAGAGACACTGCAAAATTGTGATATTTTATTTCTTACACAGAAACTGAGTCAACAGTTGATCAACATTAATATTTTGTTACAATCATTGCAAACCCCCAATCCAAAAAAAAAGCTGATCTTGCACTTCAGATACCAGAGTTCAAATCATTTATTACTAATTCCTTTGGAACAACAATTTTTCCAAGTCTGAATAAAGACCTTTATCCCCACCTCTGTTTCCTGTTTTATAGACATTTGCTATCCATTTCAATGCTTGTTCCAATTCTACATCCTTTCATTTATAAATCATGAGTTTACTTGACGGTAGGTTATCAAAGACTTTTGGTAGTTTGTACGTAACTAGATCTACAGGTTCAACACAGAATAATATTACGCTTTCAGCTGAAAATAATACTGGACAAGTCAGATCACAAAGTGAGACCTGGCTTCATTGGCCATAAGGTTTATTTTTACTTTGCTCATGTAAAAATTTTTACAAGAGGCTGCAAATATACTTTTAACAATGGATTCTAGAAGTTTAACTATTTGAAATGATCTCCTTACAAATATCAGAAAGAAAGATTCAACCATGTTATTCCAACAACCACTTTGCAGACACTCAAATTGGAACGAGTAGTCATGCCCGTCTCCACTTTGAAGCTCCCTGTTCAACTAGGAAAACTGTTTTGTATTAGCAAACTCCTCCATTTACTTTTATTATCTTAATGTCTTTTCCCCAAGACCTCCTAAACAAACTATCATCTCTGGTCATTTAGAACATAAGAACATAAGAACTAGGAGCAGGAGTAGGCCGTCTGGCCCTTCGAGCCTGCTCTGCCATTCAATAAGATCATGGCTGATCCTTTCGTGGACTCAGATTCACTTACCCACGTTCTCACCGTATCCCTTAATTCCTTTATTGTTCAAAAAAAATCTACCATTTTTTAAAAAACATTTACTGAAGTAGCGTCAACTACTTCACTGGGCAAGGAATTCCATAGATTAACAACCCTCTGGGTGAAGAAATTCCTTCTCAGTTCAGTCCTAAATCTGCTCCCTCTATTCTTGAGGCTATGCCCTCTTGTCCTAGCACTTAACATGTTACTACTTAACATGTGCTTCTTAAACTCATCTTTTCAACAACCTCCTGCTTTGGGATCTTTTCTCTTAAGTACCTCAGGACGTCTTCCCAGTCCCTCCCTAACTGTTTGGAGACTGTTAACCAATGTCCATACTAAGTTGTGTGGCTGTTTTGAGGCTCCATGCACATAAATCAATGTGCCAATGCAATGGCTTCCAATTTTGGACCTCAGAGGGAAATGCAGCAGAGAAATAAATAGAGGGAACATTGCTCCTTAACGAGTAGTAGATCTGTTGTCATAGACCTGTTTCTCCTTTAAAGAAACCCGTACACCGCCTTTCTAAATGCAGATGTTTCTGTCTCAGTGTATCATTGAACACTTTGTTCGTAGGCAACAGCCCAAACTTTTTCCTCTCCCCGTTTTTTTTTCTAATGCACTAAACTATTCCTCTCAAGGATTTTAAACAACTCATTTATATACCGGTAAACAAAACACATCACTTGTCACCCTGACACCACTCAGAACAAAGCTGAAATGAAACTAAAAAAAGATGTCCTTTCCCTGACACACAACACAGTAATACAAATCAAACTTAAAGCTACACATTGCTCCTCCACTTTAGCATCCAAACTCTCAAAGACAAATAATATATCGTCAACCTTCTCAACAATAAACTGATGTAACTCACCGGCATGAAATTAGCATTGATGTAATCACTGGATGGGTCTGCAGTGACAGAGAGTTTAACTCGACTTGCATCATCTAAAAGTTTCACAGAAACATGATTATTTTACACAAGAGATAAAGTGGCAAGAGAATATACAACACAAAGAAAAGATAAGAGCTTCTTGAGTGACCAGTTCAACAGGCATTAGGGCAAAGTTGAATCAGAGATAGTAGGAACTGCAGATGCTGGAGAATCCGAGA